AGTTTCTTTATTCACTAGTCCTGCAAAACAGAGATTTCTAAAAAGTTCTAATTTCCATATCTAAAGTGTGAAAAGCAGAGGTTGCCCTAGGAATATGCTCCGTGGAGCAGAGAGGCAAAGAGCTCTATGGCTCCTGCCCAGGCAGGTTGGTTACACAGCCAGAAGGCAGTCATTCAGGCACACCAGCCTGAGGCATATGTTTCTGCCTCAACGTTCTGGGCCTTCTGTCAAATAAAATGCATTTGGAGGAGGAAAAGGGAGTGGCCCAGCTTCTCACCCCAATCTCAGTTTAGTTCTTGGGCAAGCCAAATTTTCTACACCACTTTGGGGTCATTTTTCACCTTCGGAAAGACAATGAAATTTCCAAGCTGGGAGAAACCGTTCAGGAGTCAGCTGGTTGTGTGTGTATGCATGGTGTGTGTGTGTATGTGTGTGATATATGTGTATGTGTGGTGTGATGTGTATGTGTGGTGTGGTGTGTGTGTGGTGTGTGTATATGTGTGGTGTGGTGTGTGGTGTGTGTATGTGGTGTGTGTAGTGTGTATGCGTGTGGTGTGGTATGTGTGTAGTGTGGTGTGTGTGGTGTGTGGTATGTGTGGTGTGTGTGTGGGGTGTGTCTGTGGTTTGTGCAGTGTGTATGTGTGTGGTGTGGTGTGTGTGTGGTGTGGTATGTGTGGTGTGTATATATGTGTGCTGTGGTGTTTGTATGTGTGTAGTGTGTTGTATGTGGGGTTGTGATATGTGTGGTGTATGTGTGGTGCATATGTGCGGTGTGTGTCTGTGGTGTGTGGGGGCGGTGTGTGGTGCAGGTATGTCATTTATGTGTGGTGTGGAGTGTGTGTGGTATATGTGGTATGTTTGTGTGGGTGTGTGGTATGTGTATGTGGTAGGTGGTGTGGAGTGCGTGGTGTATGGAGTGTGTCTATGTGGTGTGTTTGTGTGGGTGTGTAAGCAGCATGTGGTATGTGTGGTGCATGTGTGTGGTGTGTGCATGTGGTGTGTGGGGATGGTGTGTGGTGTGGAGTGTGTCTGGTGTATGTGGTATGTGTGGGTGTGTGGTGTGTGTATGTGGTGTGTGGTGTGGAGTGTGTGTGATGTGTACAGTGTGTGTGTTTGTGGTGTGTTTGGGTGTGTGAGCAGTGTGTGGTATGTGTGGTGCATATGTGTGGTGTGTGTATGTGGTGTGTGTGGGGGTATGTGTGGTGCCGGTATGCAGTGTGTGGTGTGGAACATGTGTGGTTTGCAGAGTGTGTGCCGTGTGTGTATGTGGTATGTTTGTGTCGGGGTGTGGGGCATGTATGTGGTGTGTGGTGTGGAGTGTGTGTGGTGTGTGGAGAGTGTGTGTGGTGTGTGTGGGTGTGTCAATGTGTGGTGTGGTGCATGCAGTGTGTGTAAGGTGTGTGTGTGTATTTGAGGGCGAGAGAGCATTGGTGCCTGTCCATCCCTTTCAATCCCTGGGTGCTGGGTGGGGTCATCCTGGCACCCAGCTAATGGTGAGTGCGGCAGTGCAGTCTCCTTCTGGGCTGGTACCGCCACCTGAGCAGTCAGTTGCCTAGTGGATGGCGAAGTCACCAAAGGAACTTTCTGGAAAAAATTTTCTTTGGTGACGAAAAGCTCCAGAAGTGCTTGAGAGACGGAAAAGTGTGCAGGTGGGGAAGAGCTGAGGGAAGAAGAAATGGAAGCTACCAAAGAATGAGGCGAATTGATTCCAGGACATGAGATTGGGCAACGGGAGGAGGAAAGAGAAAAGCTGACACCTGCCTAAGGAGGCTGGTCGCGCTGCAGGCCTCCGCGGCGCTCGGCGTCTGGCTGCTCCTCGGTTCCGGTCCCGGCGCTGGGGCCGCGCGCGCTCTCCCGCACCCGAGCAGGCTGCGCGGCCCGGGAAGGGCGGAGGAAAGTCCGGGCCGACCGGCGGCGGGCAGAGAGACAGCCATCGCCGGACCGCGGGGAGAGGCTGCCTCGGGGTTCCCGCCCTCGGAATGGGAGCCGGGGAGGAGGACTGCGTTTCCCAGCCCTCTTCTGAGTGTGACTGGTGCTGGGTGTTCACGGTTTCCCGGTTCAGGGTCTTGTACCCTGGGCAGGGCGCCCTGAGAAAACTTAAAGAACAGGGAGCGCGGTTCAGAGGGCCCGGGGCTGGGAGCCCGTCTCCCACGCGGCGCACCCGTGCTTACAACTAGCCCGCGCAAGGCTGCTGCCGCAACACGCGGGGCTTTGGGCGTCGCACGGCCGCAGAGCTTACGGGTGGGACTCTGGGACCCTGGGGACTTTCCCGGAGAGCGTCCGGTTTCCGTCTTGGCTGACCAATGCCTGCAACGAGAGATGTATGGGTCCCTTCTCGGGCCTTCTGGCTTCCAAGGCCTGTGAGCATATGCTGTACCCTGCAAACCCATCCTGGGGAGTACAGGCGGCCCCACCCGCAAAGGCCTCGGAAAAGTAGAAAGGCTGATGAGGCCGGGGACTCATCTTCTGGGCAGACACGCCTGGATTTCTCTGGCCCCAAGCGCTGGGTCAATCCTGGGCATTCTTCCACTGATTGGGATGCGACAAATGCTGGTGAAGCAACCGTTTGGCTTTCAATTTCCCGTCCTTAGAACCTACGATTCCTGCGCTGGAAGCCCGGGCACCCGCCTGGACGTCGTGGGACCGATGCCTGCATGACCCGTGACCTCATTTCCTCCTCAGCTGTGAGTGACCTCAACTAGTTTGGCAGACGGGTGGAGTTATAAAATCCTAGATTCCCCTCTGAGAAGGTTCAGACACCGGAAAGGGTTATGATACCTCTGAACGCTTGAAAACGCAGCATTAAAATAAAACATTTCTGAGTTTGCCTTGGCTGAAGGCAAAACTAGCTTTGGGTACTCTTCGTCCACTACTTCCCGCCAAAATGGTCTTGTGGGCAGATTGAACAGCATAGCTACCCAGCCCGAAAGTGGCTGCCACTAACACACCTACCTGGATCGCCTGGGCAGTAACTCAGCCAAGGCTCGGCTCTCTTCCTGATCCTATGATTAAGTTAACTACCATACAAAAGAAAACACAGGGGAGGTTCACTGAGTGTCTACTCGTGGCAGTGTCTACACGTACTCTTTAGAAAATATGATTCCAGCCGATTTCAAAAAGCAATATTTAACCTTTTTCTAGACCCCAGTTCATCCCTGTCTGAATCTTCAGTGGAAAGCAAAGCTGCCTTACGGAAAAGGAGATTCCAGAAGGATCAGATAGAAAGGAAAAGGGCATTCAAGACTTTTTTAAAAAAAGGTAGGCCCTAGAATAAGCTGTGTGTGTTTGTTTTTGCTCCAGAGATACAGTGTCCAAAACAGGGACAATTTAGTCTGCCTATCAGGCATTGTGATTTAAGGATCTGTTGATTCAATTTGCCTTCAAATTTGCCTTCGATTTGCTTCCTCACTTCTTGTCATCAAATTTTCTTCACAATCTTGACCTTTCTCTAGAAAGACCTCTTTGTGTTCAGTTGGAGCCTGATTAATTCATCAGGGAAAAAGAATTCCCAGTGCAAGAAGTACTTTAAAAATAGTAGAACCTGCTTTGCTTATTTTACAGATGAGAAAACCAAGCTGCACGTAAACCAAATTATGTCAGCGAAGATGCAGGGTCACACTACTTGTGAATAGCAGAGGTAGAATTAGAATTTTGGACTGTTTTCACCACATCCTGCTTGGGGGTGTTTTAAATTATCCAAATGTTGCCTAGGAAAACTGAGAGCAGGCCTTAAAGAAATGTAGCAAAAAAAAAAAAAAAAAAAAAAAAAAAAAAAAAAAAAAGGATGATCTTAAAGAACCCTACCTGCTTTTTTACCAATCTACGTCACATTCCCAATAGATACATCACTTTGCACTATACCTACTCTTAACCTGCTCCCTGCCCTAATCATAACTTGCTTTGTAGAGGTCCTAAAATAATGAAGGCTTTAATAGCCTATTAGGGAAAACCATTGCAAAGCCCATAATGAGAACTCTGTACATTTCAGACCTTTTCACCTATATATGAATGTGGCTTCATACATAGGGGAGAGTCTTCAGAATGTGAAGAAAGGAGCAAAAAAAAGTGGGACAATTCCTGTGATAGCTACACCAGTGTAGTGCCTGTTTCCAGAGTGACTATGGAGATGCCTGTGGATTAAGTGCATGCCATCTTAAGGCCTAAAGGATCATTGTTCATTTGGTTTTATGTCTAATGGTTACTGGTCATATCACATACACCTAGACTTTGTACACTCAATATTTAACTAAGAATTATTACCAGTATGTAAAGAGTACAGAAGTACCTTTCATAAAGGGAAGAGTAGAAAGAGGAGGGAAATCGTCAGGTTTTTCTGCATTATAATGTTTCAGGACAAGTTTTTTTTACAGAGGCTGTGCAGTTGTCCATACCTTTAGAAAGAAAGCTGGGCTTTGCAATACATAGACCACGATCAACCATAATCATTTCACCTTGGTTTTTAGGGAAACTCCCCCACAGGGTCTCCTAATAGTTTATGACAAAATGCCATTGTAATGACTTTAGAGTACAAGATACCCTTCTATGTAGCCATCACTAGTAGAACCTAAAGTGAGCTTTTCATCTGGTCTCCAAGACCTCAGCCTGAACATTGTCTCAGGCCATTTGTGAAGATGCTAATTATCCTGCTGCTCAAAAGAATGCTGGTGTCCTAGTGACGGGTTAGCTGCATGGCAGGCATCTTTGTCTAAATGATTTGTCTTTGATCAAGATGCCCAACACTTTCCAGCTAAATATTTTCCAAGTGATAATAAAAACTTTTCTCCTTTTAGGCTCAAAATTGGCTTAGAGTAAATAAATGCAAACGGTGCCAGGTTTGTAATTCCTCTCTGATGCTCTTTCTTCCCTTCTTTTCAGGAACTCAGTGAAAATGAATGGTATTTACTCAGAGTACAGTCTTCAGCTACAACAATAAAATTTTAAAACTTCCCAAATATTTGCTTTGAAGAAAATAGTCATTTATTGTCAAAGCATCCAACATACTCAGATAAACTATAAAGTTTAATAAATATTTCCAGGGATAAAAGAAACACATAACTATTCAGACTCCATTTCACTGGCACAAAATTACACTTTGTATTAAAAGGAAATACATATTTACATAATTGATGACATTCTTCATTGAAGTCCATAATCATATCATTATACATGCACTTCCCCCTGGAAACTCAAATTGAATGGCGACCCCTTTTTATTCATTTTGTTTATTTTTGTAAGAACACAAACGATCATCAAGAAATGCAAAGCATCTCACCCTCCTCCTTTACTTTATATCTAAAATAAATTTTGCCCTTACATATAATTATTACATCTAAACCGTAAGTGCTTAATAATTTAAGTAGAAACGTATGACAAATGCATCAATATGTTGCAATATATGACATTTTAAAAAATGTACCTTTGTTTTGGGGAAAGTGAAAATGCGTGCATTCAAAAGAAAACTCCCTCAAACAACCCACCCAATCAAAAATCCACCATCCTGGTGTGTGTGTGTGTGTGTGTGTGTGTGTGTGTGTGTGTGTATGTCCCGGGTAAATGTCTCAACGAGGTTCCTGGGGGAGGATGTGTGTAGTGTGTGGGGGTGATGTATGTGCCTGTGTGCAGTATTTTGGGGTGCAAGGAGGCGGTGGATGTTCTCGCGTGTTTATTCCTGCAGGTGGCTTGACTGCGTGCGCGCGCATGGAAAGCTGGGGTCCTTTCGGAGTCAATTATGCGAGGTCATGTGCCTGGAGAGGTGGTGGCGCTCCCTGAAGGACTCGTTGCAGATGGGGCACTTGAGTTTCTCCTCTCGCCGCCGTTTCACCAAGGGCTCCATCGCATACTCCTTTTTGTGGTGCGACCTCATGTGGTACACCAGGTCGGAGGTCATGCGGAAGGAGGCATTGCACTTGGCGCACCAGTTCTGCGCGGGCAGACACAGCGAGGTGAAGGAGGGCGGCAGCAGCGTGAGCGCCGAGGGCAGCTGCAGCTGCAAGGGCCCGGCGGCCGCCGCCGCAGCCGCGGCTGCAGCTGCAGCGGAGCTCTTGGGCCAGAACGCGGTGGCGTACAGGAAGGGGCTCTGCTTGGGCAGGCCGCCGCCGCCGCTCGACAGGGACCCGCAACCTCCATTCAGGTCCGCGGCCCCCTGGAGCTTCACTGCTAGAGGGTCCGCGGCGGCTGGGTAGAGTCTGGTGGGGCCCACGCCGTCGGCAGGATGGCACGGCTCGAGCGCGCCCAGCTTCTGGCCCAGCACCAGCGGGGACAGCTGCGAGAAGGAGCGCGCTGGCTGCGAGAAGGCGCTTTTGCGCTCGTCCGACGGGGCGCCCTGGCCCCCGCCCGCGCCGCCTGCAGCCCCGGCGCCCGTGCCGCCGCCACTGCCCGTGCTGCCCGCGCTGCCCAGCTGCGGCACCGAAGTGAAGGCGCTGCCCCTCGCAGGACTGCCGCCCTCCAGCCGGCTAGGCAGCGGGCCCCCGGGCCGCGGGGCCAGCAGCTTCTCGGCGCCCACCGGCGACGGGGCCGCGGGCGTGGAGGAGCCGCCGCCGCCGCCGCCAGAGTCCTGGTCCTCGGCGACGACGCCCCCGCCGTCTGCGGTCCCCTCTTCCTGCAGGCCGGCCACCCGGGCTGCCTTCTTCACCTCCACGAAGGCGCTGCGCTTCGCCTCGCCGGTCTCGGGGCTGGGCGGTGCGAAGAGGCGGCCGTTCTCTTCCAGGCCGAAATAGCTGCCCGAGGCTCGGTACTGCTGCGGTGTGCACACCAGATCCTCCTTGGAGGCCGGGAGGGGCCGCTCTGCGAAACGGCCCCGGCCTCCTACCAGCCCCGCGCCACCGCCGCCCTCCGCCGTCTCCTCCGGGAATTTCCTCTTTCCTTTGCTGCCGCCCGTGGCGATGCCGTCGGGACTCAGCTCCGCCTCCTGGTGGCCGCCGCCGCCGCTGCTGCTACCGCTGCTGAGGCTCTGTGCTGGGGAGCAGCTGCTGCCTCCCCGGGAGTTTTCCAGCTCCCTGGCCAGGTTGTGGAAGTCCGTAGATGGCTTCGCGCTGCTGCCGCCGGCGGCAGCGGGTGGGTTGCTGCTCTCGGGGGAGGGGGCTGGGTAGTGGTGGAGGGGGCCAGCTTTGCAAAACTTGGGACCCGGGCCTAAAGGGGCCTCCTGTTGCTGCTGCTGCTGCTGTTGGTCTTTGCCGCCGCCGCCGCCGCCGCCGCCGCCCCCGTGGTCCTTGGTGCCCACGCCGCCGCCCTGTTCGTCTTGGGGACTTATATCAGCGCTGTGAAGTCTCTTGGGGCAGCGGAAACGCAGATGCGCCACATAGGGGAACTCAAACTGGAAACGTTGGCTGCATTCCAGGCATGTGTAAGGGGACGACCCTGCTTAGTGAGCAAACACCACACACACACACATACACACACGCACACACACACACATGCACACCACATGATTACTCAGCTTCACCCCCAAGCCGGTTTGCCACCATCCCCTTGACAAATCCACGTTTATTTCTCAGGGCCTGAGTGCCTGAGAAAAGAATGACCAACCTCATCTAACTTTCCCCCTGATTTGGGGGTAATACAGCAAATAAGCCAAGTGTCCCCGCTTTATTCTCACCTATCTGTTTAGCTTCATTCCGCATTATATCTCAGAGGCTTCCTGTGAGACACCCAAAGGGAAGAAAGGCGCGCCAGCGCGCTGGGTTAGCCCCGGTCGCTCCCCGCGTCTCTCCCCCGCTAGTGAAGGGCCCACACACCGGTCGCGAGCCAACCTACCATTCATTTTGTTGTGGGATCTAGAGGGGCAGAGCAAGAGTAACTCAGTCAGTTCTTTCCCGTACCAAACTAATAACTCCTCGTCTTTGGCAATCCTGCGGAGAGAGCGGTAGAACAGCTGTCCGTTTTTTATATAGGCTTCAAGGTTCTGCTCTTCCTTATCTCTGGCCGATTGGACCAATCGCAGCCACATGAGACCTTCTGAGGAACCATTTGCTGCTGAGGTGTCTACCTGCGGTTTGAAATAGAAGCAAGAAGACAAGAAGGAGGGGGAGAGGAACCCCCATGAAAGAACTGAAATCAGAAGAAGCAAGACCATTTCTTCTATGTTAGTCTTTTCCAAAATTTGAGACCACGCTTCCAAAAATTTGGCCCACGTTGGACCTGTTCTCATGTTTGTAACCAGTAGGGAAGATAACCATTATTTGAAACACTGCATCATCATACAGATTATTTAAGTCGCCGTTTTCATATATTGATTGGACACTAAATGAGGGAATTTCTTCTTAGTAAAAATTTAGTGTTAACCTCTTGAGAGTTTAATTCTAAGTTATCCGACATTACAAAGGTATGGAGAATTTTGCTTTTTTTCAGAAATAAAGCAAGCTTAGATCTTAGAAATTATGCTATGGCAATCATGTTCCTAATCTTGGCTTAAACAATTAATAGCTTTTCTTTGTGAAGAAGAATAGGAGATGAGAGGCCTTATATCTTCCAATTCAGGCATATAGATTTAATGATGCTTTACTGTCAAAATCATTAAGATTTTTATCTAAATACAAACTCTAGGCACTAGCTAATATTACTAAAGAAACTAATATTTAGGGGATGAAGAAGCCCTCTCAAATGGAAGGCAAATGTACCAATACTTGTCAAAGAACTTGGAGAAACTAGTTAGTATGCAAATAGCCTCCGCCCCGGTGAAATCTCCCAGAGTTCAGGAAGTCGTATTCATCAGCAGGAAGACCCAGAAGTGAAGCATTGATTTAGATATTTCTAACATTCCAAATCAAATTCATTTATTCCAAAATATCAATTGACAATCATTTGAGTTTATTTTTCCTTTTCAAATTTTTGATGTGTTAAGTGGGATTGCTTGCATTATTGCACTTTCCACAGGTAAAACCTATCTCTACTTGTCATTAGAATTATTTTTAGGCCATTTCCAACAGGACATTACCCTCATACACCTACACAGCTCCAGCGGAGACTTACCCGAAAGATATAAGGTACCGTTCTCTTGTCAGTAGACTTGAGAGCTATGAAAGCTATGCTGTCATATAGGGAAGTATGGCTCAGGACACAGGGACCAAATATAGCATTCTCAGGGATGTCGCAGGTGGTGTAAACGCTGGTAAAAATATCTGTCAGACATTGTTGGACAGCCTTGGCATCTCCATCCCAGATGCCTCGCTGGATGCCCGTATCCTCCATCACTGGAGATAGACACACAGCACAAGAAAGTAAGTTACATTAACGCTTTGACCGCCATTAACCCAGGCAGAACTGTTCAAGTGCTAGGCAGATTTTCCTTACACTTGCCTGATTTTTTGCATAGCTCTTATTTCAAAATTAAAGCAGATTAACATGGAATATTTTAACAATAAAAACTAAGGGATACTTGTTAAAAGAACTAGAATAGTGAGAGATCTGGAGCTGACTGCTTCAGAGAAAGAAAAGAAGGGGCTAGGAAAGACTAGATCATTTTTTGCATTACCTTGATGTTGGATTGGGTAGGTTTTGGAGCTGAAGTTCAAGGCAGAATAATACTTTTGTTGTTGTTTTAAACCAGCCTATAGACCTTCCTTTCTGAAAGAAACTTCTAACCCTTGGGGGAAAGTGCCTCTATGCCTATGTATTGAACTGGGTGCCCGGGAGCTGGTTTTTTTCTTTTCTTCCAAAGAGGGCAGTAGCATTAGTGAGCAGGCGGAGACAGCAGAGCATGGCGAATGGATTTCAAGTGGAGTGTCAGGGCCACTAATTCTGTGTCAGCTAACCTTTCTCTGCAGCCTACAAGAAGGGACGTATGTCTACTCATTACCATAATCCAACACTGTTCCTCTGAGGCTTTAATTAAAAGCAGCAAGCAGAGGTAATTTTTTTTTTTTTCTGGGCATGCTTATTTATGGATGAGAGTGAATCCCTGTTACCTTGTTATACAAGGGGGTGGATTGAGTCACATGTGGCTCATGAAGTGAGCAGGTACAGGACAGGCCTGAAATGTCCCCAGTCTGAAATACTGTGTGTAATGACTGGTGAATTGTCACTCCCCCTACTCCATACGACCCTGTTTGGGCAAGAGGGGGCAGCCCTGCTTGAGCACTCCTCAGTGAGCTCTCCAGCTGTTTAATCCACAGCAATTTAGAAAGTAATGCCCCAATGGAGGGTTCTCTATTAAGCTGTCATAAAGGGACATTTTCCTTCCTCTGGATACCTCGTACAAGACTTATCATTAAAAAAACAAAACAGGTATTTAAATTTTTAAACTAGCTTTGAACTAGGTACATTGCTTAGTATTTCAGACTAATCAAAAGAGTCCTCCAAGTTTGTTGTTCCTTAATAATGCCACGATTGGCAATCATTTATGTTTTTTTAAATAATTAAAGTAGCAGGAAAGCATAGATCTAATTGTTTTCCTGCAAAGCTGTTCATTGTGGAAGAATATCAGTGACTTGTATTTTTGTTTTAATTTCTATTAACCAATTAACCTTACACATGTGATTACAAGATAGTGCCTTTTTTCCCCATTCCAGCCAACATAGCCTAAAACTTTGGTTAGTCTCATTTTCCAATTCATCCTCTTGCATCCCCCAAATGTCAAGTGTTGGGCTGTATCTCCCAGGCAGCAGAAATAAGGAAAAATGTTCATAAAGTAGAAACTTTCTCATGCTACATCATTTATCCCTGGACATTTTTACCCCACACAAGGTAGACATCCTGATTTTTCATTTCAAATTAAAATACATTTAAAACAAAAATACTCATACTCTCTCATCCCCTTTTCAACGGAATCCTATTCTCCTCTTTTCAATTTTCTTCAATTCAGCGTTTTATGCCCCAATTTCTCTCTTCCTTTTAAAAATCTCTTTCACACAAGCGATTCATTGTGCCGGGAGGTCGCCCCGTCACTTCGGGCAACAGCAGGGACACAGTCATTAAAATGCAGTTCTACCTAACAATACGGTGAAAAGGTCCTCACTACGCCGCGCTAATAGCTGTCGGAGTCGCGGCGCCAGCCACCCGAGCCTCAAGCCCATCACAATAACCGCTGGGCAACAGCCTGGGAGCGCCCGCCCGCGTGCAGTCGCCTTTGCCACCCAACCTTTCACAGCTCTGTGCCCCGCTCTAGGCCCAGGTTCTTAACCGCCTGCCCTGAGAATCCGCCCCAGAGCCGGCGGGACTCGCTGAAAGCCGGTCGCCGCTGCCAGCCGATAGCCCTTCCCTCTAGGCAGGCATTGTCTAGCGGCCGCGCGCTCCCCAGTCCTTGGCTTCTTCGGCAAAGTGCTCCCTACCCGCTCCTCCTTTTGTACAATATTATTGGCAGTAGAGAGCCCCTCAACAATTATTTTTCTCTCTCTTCTGGATAATAAGGAGATGGGAGACAAAATTTTCTACTCTTTCCACCAAAATGCCTTTCTCCCATCCCCCTCCCGCATCAATGCAAATAGACTTACCAGGAATAAGGTCAGTATAGAATCTCCTAAATAAGGCCACCTGGAACCGGGAAGATGCGCAATCCAGTGTTTCTTTTTGCCTATTGTATCAGTGTATTTCCATGTCAAGAGGTATTGGTGTTGCCGTCTTTTAGGCTCTTCCTAAAGAGATAAGAGAGAGATGGAGAGATGGGGAGAAATAGATTGGGGGGTGGAGGGAAGAAGGGAGGGAGGCCAAAGAGAGAGAGAGAGAGAGAGAGAGAAAGAGAGAGAGAGAAACGGAGAGAGTTGTACAGATGGACCCGATGCAGTGACTGACTGGCACGCAGACACACACTTTTTGTTTGCTGCACATAATCTGCCCAATGACGCGTGACAGCCCACGTCCCCTCCCTTTAACTCTTTGCTGGGCCAGGCGCTCCCTCCGGCGCCGCCTGCCTCGCAGCTTTTTCCCCTGGCCTGCAGATCCTGAGCGCCTACCCCGGGTGGCAACGCCTGTTAGAGAGCGTCCCGGCACGCCTCCTCCTAAAGCTCGGGCCCTCTGGGACTGCTAGGAGGGGGAAATCGTTTCAGGATTGGAAAGGAAGGTACCAAAAGGATTGGAGAGGGCCTTTCTCTGTTTGACTAGGCACTTGGAGAAGCTATGACAGAGAGCTGGATACCCAGCGCGCGCGGACCCCGTGCGTATTTCCCCGGGAGTCCGAGTTCCGTGAAAGGGAAAGGGGTGCGGTCAGCCCCAGGGACTCTTTAGCTAGTTGCCTGGGGTTGATAAATGGGCGCCGGCTCTACAAGAGTGCCAACACTACCAAGCTTCCCCCTGCAAAATTCAGAAAGGATGCGCTTTGGTGAGAACTTGTCTCAGCCTTCCCATAACTCGGGAGATGAGGTTGGAGTGCGAATGCCACCAAACCCCGGAAGGGGACATAAAGGTACCTCCTAGTCCCAGGACACGGGTACGTGGGCGGAGGTAGGGTGGAGAGGTTGGTGGGAAGAGCGCAGGTTACTGGGCTCAAACAGTTGCTGGGGTTTTTCGCCCTCGGCTTGGTGCATTCTGCGCAGTCCCGGAGGGGTCCCATAATGGGTGCTGCTGGCACTCTGAGATCTTGAGTTTGCGGGGCAAGGGTGATTGAAAATAAAAATGATTACCAAGATGGGCTCCGGAAAGCTTTTCACATCTAGCGGGTGGAGGAAGAGGAGATGGAGTTGCCGAGGCTGTCTCGGGAGCCTCGTTTGTGCGCTAAGCCACTTAGAGGCGCTGACTTGCCCTTTAGTGCAGCAGCTGATGCTAATGACTTGAGGTCTTTAACAGCCTGCCAGTTGACTCTTCCACAGGGGCTGCAACACCATTTCGCTGGGTGATCTCGGGCTTCTTTTTCACAGTTCAATTCTCTACTCCTAAGGGAAGAAAGGCCTTTCAGTGGTATAGACAGTCCCTCAACTCCACCCACATACCACTACTTTGAAGTGGGCAATCTGTCAGCAATAGGATAAATCGGATTGTGTAGCTGGCTAAGGTGGAGAAGGCAGAACCACAACTTAAGGAGAAAGCCTCGTTGCTGCTGCTGTTGTTGTTTTTCCAAGTTTTGAAATAATGTATTTGGGGAGTTGTCAAAGAGCAGCTTACCATGTTAGTTTGATCCTCTCCCAGCTTTGAGACCCTTCTCTGGAACACAGTGGGGCACTGAGGCATTGATAGCCTGGTGACTGCAGTCCCAGGAGGCCAGGGGAGGATTTTGCTGAGGAGAAGCAAGTAAGTACAAGGACTTTCCCAGGAAGTTCATTTTCTTCCTTGGGTGCTCTCTCTCTCTCTCTCTCTCTCTCTCTCTCTCTCTCTCTCTCTCTGTGTGTGTGTGTGTGTGTGTGTGTGTTTCTTTTTCTTTTTTGGTCAGTGCCCAATGCAAGTTCCTAATCGTTGCCTAGGACAAAGCTTAAATTCACAGAAGAAAGGGTTGCAATATCCCCATACATTGAGAGAAAGTAGAGAATCCCTTAGTTTTCAGGTTAGCTACTGACTTTTCAAAGAAAGCTTCTTGAAGTGCAGTTTTATTTAATCTTAAGATATCATCTCTCTTATGCAAGTATGTGCAGTTTTATGTTCTTTCGCTGAGGATGACTCCTAATGACCAAGATTCAGTGCAATGAGGGTTCTCTCACATGTCTGTATATAGGAATCTGCTGCTGTGCTGAGCTTCCAATTGTCTTATGACTGATTCCTCCATTGAATACTAGATTCATTTCTCTCTCTCCCTGTCTCTCCTCTCTCTCTCTCTCTCTCTCTCTCTCACACACACACACACACACACACACACACACACACACACAAAGCATGGACAAATTGCCCACTAATACTTCTTTAAAGAATGGGTGGAAGATTTAGAAATGTCAAAATCATGTCTCAAACATCTGGAAAATAAACCTGAGGATTGAAGATAGTGGCCCGAAACTTAAGTGAATTCAGCGTAGAAGAAAGAAGAAAAATAAAGGACAGAAGAGGCACGGTTATAAACTGCTGCAAGTCAAGATAGAAAAGTAGCCATAAGAGAGTCACGTGGTCCCTTAGAAACTGCAGACTGATATATGCAATACGGTGTGTGGGGAGCAGTGTTTAAGAACATAATTTCATTAATCTGTTGAACAGAACACTCCTTAGTGCTTTCTTTTGGTGTTATTTAGAGAATTGGAAGTTTATCTTTCAGGAAAAGTCATCTGTCCATGCAAATCATTAAAAATTTATCTTACATATTGTAAATACATAAGTCTCTACTCCAGAATATGGACATTTAGAAAATAAAATCTAAACGGAAGGCATTTTTCTTGTGCCTGGCCTTTCTCTTACTGAATATAGAGACCATTTAAACTATGTATCTTTTGAGGTACTAAAACCTTGATTCCAGCTTGTATAAAACAACATTTTTGGTACTTAAGCTGAGGGTGGAAGAGCTTGACCTTTTAAATCTCGAGCTAGAAAATAGCGACAATTTTGTACATTTGAGAGGGGAGCAATTTATTGAGAATCTGGCCAACAGATGCTTTCTTTCAGTTTCACTTTCTTGCCCTCTAATTAATTTTTTCCCTACTGCTTTCAGGTAAAGATCCTTAAATATAAGAATTTCTCACATTTTATGAATCTGACCTACTCTTTTTATTATGAGTTAGATGGCTGACATAACAAAACAGTATAGGTAAGATTAAGTTGAAATTCTTAGTTGGTAAGTTTTCCAGTAATTTAAGTGGTACACATTTTGCTTGGTAATATAAATGTCCTAAATGACCATCATTAATAGGGGATAAAGAAAATCTGCAAATTACTTTTATTTCTGTAGAAATTTATAGGCTGAAATGGTACATAAACTACTTGGAAATCACTCTGCATTAATACTTACTGGAATTCGCTGATACTAAATGAAGGGTTGAGGCATTTATTCAGACTCAGACAGTACTATAAAAATGTACCTAGTCAATAGCTTTATGTAATTCACATGGAACAATGGGTTTATGCATATATTTGGAGCTCTATTCCCTAGGATTTTATTTCCAATTAAGTGATTAGAAGGATGACAATGAAGAGTGGATATGCTCACCTTGTTCCACTTTAGCCAGGCTCTTTGCTGTCCTGGCAAAAATACACATGTAGGAAACTGTAGTGTTGTTTTGGAAGAGAAGGCTGGAGAGAGGTTGATAAATGATACCCAAGGTGGTGCCTTTTATGACCTAAGTGAGAGGGTGGAGAAAGGGTGAGAAAGGGAAATTTAATTCTTAGTATTAGAATGGGAACACCCTTTCTCTTCCCAGTGCTGGAAAATGAAGCCCAAAATATTTCAACTTCTGTGATAAGAAGCAGGTAACATCTCCAATAATAAGTCAAGTAAAGATTATTATCCTATGAGAATGAAAACACACTAATTTTCTTTTTCTATATCTTTCTAGGTCCTGGCTTACCCACCTCTAACCCTACTGCCAAAACACTGCACCAGCAAAGGCCTCATTGTCAAGAGTGTGGCAATTTGTGGTGAAAGGGGGTAAAAAAAAAAAAAGAGCCCATACACTGGAAGATAAGAGGATGCCAATAGAGCAGACAGTGGCAGCCTTCCTAAGCTTATTAATTTCCCACAAGGAGGTCTCTGGAAGGGGCTGTCAGGCTTGAGGGAGGCAGAGAATAGATCTTCAAGGAGGAGTATTGCATTACCTAGTCTCACCATTCAGAATAAGGAAGTTTTTAAGGGATGAACTTGACTGACTACTTGTACATGAAAGAGAGAGAGAAATGATGGGCTGGTCAATTAAGAAAAATACCAGGCCTGTGCCAAAAATGCTGTTCAGAGGTTGTTAACTCATTTTCTACCATTTTGCCTTTATCAAGAGAATGATACATGGTGGGTTTTTAAAAAGAAACACAGAGGGGTTTGCTTGTTTGCTTGTTTGCTTGTTTTACATCTTGGTGAGTCAAGAAGAGGCCTGCTTGCTGATTTGGATAAAGAATGACCTGAGGGAGTCGGTTGTGGGGAGGGATGCTTGTTTTTTATAAGTATACATTGCAAGCTCCATTTGTGTCTCTTCCTCACCCTAAGTATTGTAGTTGGTTCACTGGGTATTACATGAGCAAATGTTTTCTAGGCTGGCCCTGGGAAAGCCAGAGACTCAGAGTTGGGTAATTTTGTAACCTGTGAGGAAGGACTTCAGGCTCCCAACTGTAGGGGTCATTATTCCTGTCTCACATTTATCTCTCTTGGTCTTTTCCTCATAAATGGTCCTGCTTTTAATGCTGCTGCTCCTGCAGCTACTACTACCACCATTATCATTACAATGGTAATCTACCTTTCTCAAGTTTAAAATTTTCTCTCTGAGCATTCCCAAGTTTTACTTATACTTCTGTTGCAGTTCAGCTGAGAATGGGATGGTCTTTGAAAGCTATATGTTATTTTCCTCTCCTGGATCTGGGTTGTAGTCAACTGGCTTAATAGCCTCTGCGTATGACTTTTAGAGGGTTAGCAGACCGAAGTGATATTGGAGGCAACTACCAACAGGTACGAAATCAGTGCCTCATACTCATCTATGTGAGTGTGACCTCTGAACCAAATCCAATATCCAGTATTTTGACCCCCTGGCTCCCAACTTTTGGACTCCTCCCCAGCTCAGTGTGTAAATATCTGGCAAGAAGAGGCCTGGATTTTTGTCAAATCTGTAGGTTCCAAAGTCCCTCCTAGACTCAGACATCACAGACCAACTTTATACCTGAGCAGAAATTGTCCTCTATGTGTGTATGGGTGTGGGTGTGTGTTTAAGGTTGGGGTGAACGTTGTCAAAGGTAGCAATTAAAAATAAGTTTTAGGACTGTCATTTTCCTTGAATGCTTGTTCATTAAGCAGCCAGTGCTCTTTGTTGAATGTTTTCATGTAAGATGGTTTTGAGAAAATAGTTTGTGTGAAGTCATACAGGACAGCAATTGGTCCCAAGGAGGCAAACTGAATAGAGTTATAAAGCCTTTGAATGCATCTCAGTGTGAGGGGGCGTGGCTGATTGTAGCTGAATCTCTATCAGCCAGTCTGAACTTCCTTACCCTCTGGGTCAGACTTTTTAGACAGATTCGGGATCACGGTATGTCTAGCAGTCTCAAATTTGTGTCCAGCAGTCTCAAATGAGATTTTGAGAAGTCTAACTCTAGGCCTTGGGAATGTGACAACATTGAGAGGCTCTACATCAAATTTCTTCACACAGCCGGGAGAATGGACTTTATCCCAAGATTCAGTACCTGTATGCCACCCCTGTTCCTCTCTGTCAGGTAGTATGTAATGGCCACACCAAGCAGGAAGCACAAAGTCCCCCAAGCTGACTCATCCTCACTAACAGACACGCCATGGGATGTCCTTGTCAACATTAAACTAACAGCATCACTGCAGCCAGCCTCTGATTCTTTGTGCCACACAAGTGCTTGCACATGCCCTGGGACTTCTATCCCTCCTTCCCATGAAGTGATAAGCTCACATCTCTGCAGCTTGACCACACTGTGCCCCATACAATGTACGTGGAATTGACTCCTGCTTCACCAAAACCAGATAATTTAATAAACTTTATTCTTGTTGGGGGAAGAGGGAGGGGAAAAAAGCCACCTACTCCACTCCTCTCAATAAACTAACACATGGCCAATTCCCAGGCCCTAAGGAAAAAAAAAAAGTTAAATAAAGAGTTAAATAAAGAAGCAACAATAGACACACAGCATATATATCCTGAGTGGGCTACACCCCTTGGCATCCAATCCCAGTTAGCTTTCTGAGGTGTGGACTGTGAGAATTTGGGCTGCTGGGGAGAAAGCAGCAACAGGCTTGGCTTTTCTGGGAAAGGGGTCTAAGCAGGGGACACAAATGTCCAGTACTTGAAATACACCTATGGTACACATT